TTTTTCCTCCATTTCTGATTTTATTTATTTGAGTCTTCTTTTTTTTCTCCCCCTTTGGTGAATCAGCTAAAGTTTTATCAATTTTGTTGATCTTTTCAAAGAACTAGTTCCCAGCTTCATAGATCTTTTCTTTTGGTTTTTTAGCCTCTATTTCATTTATTTCTGCTCTAATCTTTGTTATTTCCTTCCTTCTACTGGATTTGGACTTTATTTGTTATTGTTGTTTTTCTCTAGCTCCTGTAAGTGTAAGGTTAGGTTTTTTATTACAGATTTTTATTTCTTCTTGAGGTAGGCTTAGACGAGATCGGGTGCGTTCAGGGTGGTATGGCCATAGACTTGAGGTAGGCTTATATTGCTAAAATCTTCCTCTTAGATCAGCTTTTTTAGCATTTCAAAGATTTTGGACTGTTGTCTTCATTTTCATTTGTCCCCGTGTATTTTTTGATTTAGGAACACATTTTAAGTGGCAATTAAATGCAACTCATGTAGCACAATCAATGTACATAATTTAATATGAATAACCATGATTGAGTTCATGCATGTGGAGCCAAATAACAACCACCATGCAATTGCCCCCACCAACAGAGAGTGATCACAAGGAATATTCCATTTCAGATTTGTTAAGCTGAGGAAAAAAATGTTTCATAGAATGAATGAAACTCAGGAAATATGAAACTGTTAAGTGAGCAAAAGGGAACCCAGCCTAGCAAATGGCTGAGTAAAGTATACCTTTTTGATAGAGGGGTAGGTGTCGGTAGACCAACATTCGTGTTCATGTTTTCACTATGTGATAGCCATGGTGTTCACTGTTTCCTATACATCACTGCATTGAGTTGGGTAGTTTTATCTTCATTTTATAGATGAGGAAATTGAGCTCAAAGATGTTAACGTGCCCAAGGTCACAAAAGTAGGTGACAGAGCCCAAATATTATGTGTCTGACTCTAGAGTCCTTTATATTCCCACTATACCAGTTTCCATACTGGCCTTATGACACTTGAGTTCTGATAGTGATTATGGCTATAGTTCACCTGGCCCAGGTATTCCTGAGGGGATTAAATCAAATCTGAATTTTATGGAGAGGAAAAAGTATTGTCTGTAATAACTGCAACCATAATATAGAGAACTATACGCAAGTGATAAAATAGTGAGTGTAAGCATATGTAAGTATATACATTCATACAAACTACCACCAGCTGGAAAATTAATAATATAGACTACTCTGGCTTTTTACAGGAAGAAAATATCTCAGGCTTCTTATGAATCCCCCCTCCCACCCAATTTTACAATAGTTATTTTAGTCTGTATTACTTCATTTGTCACATTATCAAATATCTTTCTTGGCTCTAAGAGCCCTGGATTTTACCGATTAACAGTTTCAGACCGAGCCTGAGCTATGATCTCATGACTGTCTGGTTCCACCCCCCAAAAAACCATGATTAGAATTATTGACAACAGCTTAGCTCAGATATAGACAGCAGCTCTTTGAGCACTTCACCCACGTTGCTTGGTTAGAAAAACTCTAAGGCACAGACTTCTTGGGAATGAAATAAAAGTAAGGATTTGTACTGTTCTTCATGCACTTTGTTTTCTCTTTCTGTTCCCTTCACAAAAGACTTCATCATGAAAAGGAGGAAGCCCAAACTGAAATGAGTTAAGAACTTTGTGTCCGAGAGAGGACTGTGGCTTGGCCCTGAGTTGAGGTAAGATATGTTGGTGTGTACTGATGAGACCAGATTAAGCTCTACCTCATCATACCTTCTCCTTCCCTTTCTCCATTCTCTCTCCATTCCTTCTTGACTTACTTTCCAAGCTTTCTGTGCCTCTTCCCCTCATCTGGGAACTCAGTGTACCAAAGAGGCTGCTTACAGTGATCAACTTTTCTAGATCTCCAGAGGGGGCACATGAACCAAAATGAGAAAGTCTGAACTGAAGACACAAGTGTAAGAAATCACAGCTGTTCTGGAAAATGAAGGGTGAACAATTGCTGTGATTTTGCATGTCATCCTAACCCAAAAGTTTACTAACTTTGTTCTTCTACCATCATACTTTGCTTTCATCAAAAAATGCTCTTTTCTAATGATTTCTTGTCGTGTTCCAGGAGATTCTCCATATATTTAGGCCCCAAAGAATACAGTTGATGCTTTGATCACTTGCTATGTCCTCTGGTTCTCTAAGGCTGCTTCCACTGTCTTTCAACAAAGTGATGATGAAATTAGTGCCTTGTGCTATAAGTCATGAAGAAGAGAAACTGTAAATGACAATGAGCCTTTATGTGTTTTTCTCCTACATCCAACCACTATGAGGATTCTTCCATTGCTGTTGCAAAGTTCTTTTCTTGAAAACCTGAGATGACTAAAGCCTTTTAGCACACTAACCCTCAGATCCTATCTCCTCTGTATCTTCTTTTACACATCTGTCTTCCTCTCCTCTATAACTTTTACTTCCTTTTTCTTTATATTATTGTTATTTCCACTAATTTCTTCAAAATAATCACAAACATACAGAAATATAGCAGGTACAGTACAAAGAAGTTTTCCCCCCAAATCTATTAAGAGGAATTTGCCAATCTAATTCCTCATAACCCCCAAATATTTTAGTTCATGTTTCCTACAATCAAGGACATTCTCCTATGTAGCCAAAATTTAACCATAAAAATCAGAACATGAATATTGCATAATACCATCGCCTAATCCTGAGACCTCATTCAAATTTTACCAATTGTCCCAGTAATGGGCTTCGTAGCTAACAGATCCAGTTCAGAAGCAGGATTGACGTTGTTATCACATCTCTTTAGTCTTCTTTAGTCTGGAATGGTTTTTTTAGTATTTCTTTGACTTTCATTATGTTGACATTTTTTAAGATCAAAGGCCAGATATATTGTCATTTATCCCTTAAATTAGATCTGTCTGATATTTCCTAATAGTTGGATTTGGGTCATGCATCTTTGGGAGAGATATCACAGGAGAATGCTTCTCATTCGACCCTATCAGGTGATGCACCACTTTGATTTGCCCCATTATTGATAGTGTTCATTCATCACTCTACTGTGATGGTGTCTGAGTGACTTCCTCACTATAAAATTACTTTTTCCTCCTTTGAAATTAATAAGTATCCTCGTAGAAGTTACTTTGAATGATGTAATTTCTATGTTCTTCACCAAACTTTTAATTTATTCATTTATTTATGTCAGTATATATTCTCATCGTTTCCTATTTTATTTGATCAATCCCCTATATGTAATCAATTACCTTCCTTTTCTGCCATCTTCTCTCCTGCTTAGACACTCTCCTTTTAGCCTCCTGGACTCTGATTTCTTACACTGCATCCCCCTTCGCCTGACAGCAGACCTTCTTGCTTCCTTTGGGTTCTGAGCTAAAGCTTCTCACCCTTCCCAGTACAGATTCCTGCCTCTCTTTGTCCCAGCTACTGGATCTAGGACAAAGCTGTTCAGGAATAAAAGGGAATAGGAAGAAGGAGGACATCTTCTGTATTCTTTGGTGCTCCCTCCTATTCCTCCTTTCCATCTGTCCTGACCCGTTCTGACCCCTTTCACTCTTGCCAACTCTTACATCCATCTTTCTGAGCACTCAAGGCAGTATTGAACCATGGGCAATGGCATAATCAGACTAGTCAGACTATGAGGGTTTAAATCCTGGCGTGGGGACTCGGGTAAGTTACTTCCCCTCTCCGAGCCTCAGCTGCATGGTGCATAAAATAAGCATCGTGGTAGTGCTACTTCACAGTATTTTCAGAATTAAACGAGATAGTGCATGTAAAGTCTTTACTACTTGCTTCGTATCAAGAACTAAACAAATTTTATTCTTACTTCCCATCCGCTATGTTTTGGATGGTGGTGGTGGTTTTATCTCTCTCTCTCTTTTCCTGAATGCTCTTTATTTTTGTCTCTCTCTCTCTCTCTCTTTTTTTTACATTTTAGCTTCACCTGGACTATTTTTACTTTCTTGCTTTTCCTGACTCTTTTCATTTTCCCTGTGTTCGTGCATGGATGTGGTGAAGGGAGGAATTGAGCTGCCACCAGCAGAAGGTCTGATGGAGAATTCCCGTGCCCAGAGTCATATGCCCTTAGGATGTCAGGTAGCTGTGGTCTCTGCATCCTGTAACCCTGACTGGGACAGCAGCTTGAGCAAAAGGGGAAAAAAGTGCCTCTGAGAAAGAGCTGAGGTGGAACTGTACACCTGCAGTGGAACACATGAGCAGCTGCTTGCCAGTTAAGGACTCCTCCTCTAACTGGCATGGGATTTGTATAGAGGGAAGGAGGTGATCTTTTGAAAATATGAACAGAATTACATTCTGAGACCTTGTTCCCTTCTTGGAATTCTGTCCTTTCTGGTAGATAAAAGGTAAAATCCAATGATGCAGAGCCACTGTTCTTTGTTGAAGCAGTTTCTGAGAGAGTCAGAGCAAAAGAGTAGAAGACATAGACAATAGTTATTGGTTAGATAGAAATCCATTACTTACCTCTCAGCCAAGAGCTAAGCATTAGGCAAGGGTGAATGGCCAGGAAAAGATGTTCTCAATTTAGTATAGTTTTTAAACCCTACTTACAAAAAAAAAGGGGGGGATCTGTTAATTTTGCGGGATATGGTACATGTGTTTCATGGTCTCCTAGAGAGGCCTTTCCTATTTGTCCTAATTAATTAGCATTGCTAGCTCCACATCCCAGGCATTTTTTTGTTACATGGATCTTTTCTAGAGTCTTTGTAGCCCTAATCATCCAGTATTCTTTTTGTTGTTGTTGTTGTTGTTGTTGTTGTTGTTGATTATCCTTCCTATAGAGTATAAACTGCATGGGGGCAAGGATCCTACCAATCCTGTATGGATGTATCACCAATGTTCCAAGCAGTGCCTGGCATATCATAGGTGTTGATAAAATGTGTTGACTTAATGAGTAAGTGAGGCAAAGTGATGATGAATTTTCTCTGTATCTGTTCATTGTGCTCCCATTCCTTTGACTTTGTGATGTTTGTCTGTAAGCACCATGAAGAGGAACAAAAGGAAACCCACCACAAGGAACAATGAGCAAGATGCCATCTCTGTGCCACCCTCCCAAGATCCAGGAGATCTTCAAAACGTGTTGGATGGAGGAGAGTATGCCCCTTTTGTATCTCCTCCCATTTTAGAGAGCAATTTTATCCAGGTAAATAAGATGCAAGCCCTGAATTAAGTTCCAATAACTTCAGTAATTAATTTTCTCAAATTGAAAAGATTAGGAGGAGGAGTATTTTAAAAGTGATAAAGGAATGAGTGAGACGATTAAAGGGAAAAATTTTGGAACTTTAACCAACCTAAAATAATGATAATGTTAAAGGAAAATTCATTCCAAATTTTCCCAGCAAACTCTCACTTAGGAGAGTTTGTTCTAACTCCTAAATCTTTCTAACTCCACCATGTTTGTCATTCTATCATAATCTTCCCAAAGTGACATGAAGAGATTACAGTGAATTCAGAACATCCTGCCACAGGAAAGCATTCAGATAGCTCCTTTCTTGGATTGAGAAGACATTTTAAAGAATAACACAACTTGGTATTAAAATCAATTTTGGCTCTTAGTTCTGAAAGTAAAAGATAATTGTCAAATTGTCAGGGAGGAGAGTTTTCTTCTCATAAAAATGTCCCTACATTATGAATGAAACTACATTTCAAGGCATTTGATAGCAGTTCTTGCTTTCTTCTGAACATTAAACATTAAAATATTCAGACAAGGAATGGGAAATGAGTTCACTGTTGTAGGCCATACCCCTAAAGTCCACAGTAATGCCACGACCAAGTCTAACACAAAACACACCCATTCAAGCAGCTCCTCAGCTGATTCCACAGAGGGGAGATAGAGAAGACAATAGATGCTTCGTCTTCCATAAATAGGTTCTCCGCCCTGATGCCTTGGTTCTAGGGAGACGTCCTCACCTCCAGAACACCATAGGCAGGAGGTGACTCCTCAAAGAAAACTAATGTTTTAGTAATGCCCAGAACACATGTGATAAGTCATGATTTGATGACTTTACCTTCTATGTGCTTCTTTCCTACTAATAATCTTATTTTTTATACTTCTTCCTACATCCTTCTCAAATAACCTTTAGTGCATGCTCTAATGAACACTAAGGGAGGTAGGTAGCACTCTATAGACCAGGCATGCCCCGTATCATAGTTGGGTAAGTTATTCCCTTCAACATACACAACCTCTCATGGTTAGTATGCCCTTGTCAGCAAGTTGCCACAGGTCTCTGACTCAAGTTCAAACGAAAACAAATAGGCATCTCAAAGTAAAAGAGCCACAGGACATCAGCTCACTTGCAAGGAGTCATCAGGGACCCAGTTCCTCTCTTTTGCTCTCCCTCGAGTTAGCTCCCCTCAGGACAGGACATACCAACAGGACAGTAACAGCTGCCAGAAACACAAGAGATGCCCTTATCATAGCAACTTCTTGTGAGGACTGGAAACCTTTCCCAGAGCCACCAAGAGGCCCCCGCTGTGTCTCATTGGCCAGACCTAGGCCATATGGCCCTGCTGAAAGTAAGCACTGGCTAGGGAATGAAATCGCCAGGTTCATCAGTATTTCACCCCTGAGCCAGAGCACCATCCCTAAGGGGCAGATACTGGTTGGATGCTGAATTCTGTTAATCAGGCATGGCTTTGGGTAGGTCCATAGTGTGAGCTACAACCTCTTTCCGAGTATATTTGTTTTTAAGTGATTTTTGTGTTTTTGAGTTAATGTCTAGCTGAGAAAACAAATGTGGCCCTTCTCTGGCTTCCTTCGCATCCCTGTCTAGCCACTTTCCAGTTTTCTTTTCTTCCAACTGGCAGAGATTTTACTGGCCAAGATTCTTGGACTTTGGGATTTTTGCACATGCTGTTCCTCTGTCTGAAAAGCTCTCCTGTCCACCCAGTCAGTTTAACTCCCACATTGTCGGAGTCTCACATTCAGGTCTCAGCTAGAGATCTCTTCCTCGGGGGAGATTTCTCTGACCCTATGTCTGGAGTATGCTGGAGCTGGCTGACTGGTAAGTGTTCAGGAAATTTGCACGTCTAGCTTTGAACACAGCTATTCTTAAAAATTAAATCGATAAACTCACATACTCAAACCTCATTGTTCCTATTATTTTACTACATTTTACAATTTATGCTTTTAAGGTTATGGATATAAGAGTTTGACAAAGGTCAATGAAGACTTCTGTGAGAATCAATTGACTATTGAATTTAAAATAAAGTTGCATATATCATTATTTGTAAATTGTGTGCTACTCATCTTCTATATCAGTAAGATATATAATAAATATCTGCATATCAGAAATAGTTGTTACACATTTACCTATACACCACTGCCTGTATCTCCTCTTAAATTAAGTCTCCTATCAAATGCCTCATAGCACAAAACCCTAAATTCATGCCTGGTAATACTTGTTGCAGTAATAATTAGTGACATACTTTTTAATGTTCACCATCCCTGATAGAACCCCCATGGCCCAGGGGGTCTGTCCGTTCACTGTGATAACTTCAGGAATTCTCAACAAGTGATTGAGCAAATGTACATTCATGTTTCATTTCTCCTTTATTTCCTACACTGCTCAGGTAAACAAGGTTGTTGGGGCCATGCACTTCAGCAGAAAACTCCTCTTCTTGTTCTCTGCCTTAGGTTAATAGGAGAGGTGAATCCATTTACCTTCATAACCGAGCCAACTGGGTGACTGTAGGCATCTGCTCTTCCAGTAAAACCCAGAAGACCCCCAATGTGATGCTTCTAGCACATCTGACACCTGAAGCCCGGAAAGATAAAGAACCCCTGTTTCAAAGTCTCCTGATATCGCCTTCACCAGAGAACCTGGTGCTCACCAGGTGAGTTACAAAGGGAAGAAGTTAAGAATCTTTCAGAAAATATGCTTTACCCCAAGAAGCTGAAAATAAAAACACCAATGACATTTGCTCCAAGGGAGCATTTCACTTGTATCCTGCTATAAATGGCAGTCGTGTCCTTAAAGTCTGGGAAATTTGCTTATGACATGCTAGCAGTCAAACAGGTAAATTTTAAAAATCAAACCTAAGTAACAGTAACTGAAAATTCATAATAAACTGCCTCTCTAGAACATGCCCTTTCTTCCCCAGCATCTCAGCTTCCATCAGATTTTGCTGTGGTCTTGTCTCAAGCCACTAACTTTCAATGTGACCTAGAGCAATCTCTCAACTTCTCTCAACTTTGCAGGATGAACTAAGTGGGACAACTTCTCATGATAAATAGTTGGTACTTTGATTTTTTTAGTTCATCAGAGTCTGAAGAGTATGATTTGAGTGAGATGGCCCTCAGGAGGCTGGTTACATGTACTAAAAATCACAGTTTTGATACTCAAAGCTAAGGACCAGACCCAGGAACATAGTAACCACAGAAGGTACTGCCCAACCCCACACCTGCCCCAACCCAGGCCTGTCTGGGAGACAAGCCCCTTGTCCTGAATCTCACTCTCCAAATTGCTATACAACGTAAAAGGAAAGGCCTTTTGATGGGTCTTCAGTCAGGCCCCAGATGACAATCGTGTGTGTTTGCAGGTTTCTACCTCTGCAGTTTGTGACTCTTTCGGTGCATGATGCTGAGAATATGCGCATCAAAGTAAAGCTGGTGAGTGGTCGAGCCTACTACCTACAGCTCTGCGCCCCTGCATGTAAACAGGACACCCTATTTTGTCAATGGGTGGAACTCATCTCTCTCTTGAATGAGGAGAAAGCCAAAGCTTCCAAACTCTCAGAAATCTCAAGTCTCTCAGAAATCACGAATAGCACAGACATCACAGGTTCAATGGACATCATGGATATTGCAGCGTTCACAGCTGTAGAGACCCCACATGAGTACACATGCTCAGACCCTGTACATGCGGTAGAAAGCATTGATTTCTCAGATTTCTCCGATGTCACTGATGTCACCGACGTCACAGATGTTCCAGAAAATGAGGTCACAGAGGCCCCAGATATAAATATTGTCACTGAAGTTACAGAAGTCACAGATCTCTGTGATGTCCCAAACGCAGAGGTCACAGTGGTGTTTGAAAATGATGATATACTAAGGGCCAAGCAAGAAGAAAAGGTAAGTGACAAGGCACACTTTTATTCCTTAATAATCAAGAATGAGAATGATAACCAAGGTCATGCTTTTTGGTTAGCTCGTTGATATTGGTTATCAAAATGCTATGGAATGAGCTCTGAGTAACCTAATTAAAATAATGGAATATTAGCCCCAAGCCCTGGTATAAAGAAGTTGTAGGATGTATCCTGAAAGAAGCAGTGACCATTCTTCCTGTCAAATTTAACCCAGCATCAGAAAGATATGGTGGGATGGAAAGAACTTCGGGACCAGCACAGCTGGACTCGAGTTGGACTCTTGCCCTTCCACATAGCTGTTTGGCCAAGTCACTGAAGTTAATTGAGCTACATGAGTCTCCTCATCTCTAAAACAAGGCTATTAATGTCACTTAAGGACTATTTTAAGTGTTTAAATGTATATAAAAGTATGCACTATATTATAGGATGGGGTGAAATTTCAATGGATAAAACTGAGGGTGGAAATAGAAAAATAAAGTGCCAAAAGAAGTGAGCAGCTTTAGAAAAGGCTAGAAAGTGGAAAAACACAGCCATATTCAAGAATGGTTAGTTCAGTTCGGCTGGAGCATAATATATGTGGAAGATATAGGATTGGAAAGTTGTTTGCAAACCTTGAATGCCAAATTAAGAAGTGTGGACTCTGCTCTTTGGGCAAACTGTAACCATAAAAGCCCTCTGTGTAAGGGAATGAAAGAACTGTGTTTTTAGAAAGATGAATCTGATGGTAACAGGGATTGTAGATAAAGAGCTAAGTTTGAGGACCTACTGCTAGAAAACCTCCATTGGTCCCAAAATAGAAAAATCATAAAGGGCAAGGTTAGACATTTTACAGAAGAAGAAAACTGCCAATAAATACACTGGAGAAAGTTTGACCTCACTGGTAATCAAAGGAATGCAAACTAAGAAAAAAATAACCTATAACACTGTTAATTAGAATAATAAAAATAGTCAAGGTGTGGTCAACTTGGAATTCATATAGATTCATGGCAGGCATAAGAATTGGCCCAAACTTACTTGAAATCATTATGAATCAAGAGCCTAAAAATGTGTATACACTTTTGATTCAGTGATTCCATTTCTAGGAATCTTCCTTAAGGAATTAATCAGAAGTAAGAATGAGGATTTAGTGGTAATGATGCTAATTATACCATATCTATATCATGTTTGTCAAAATGAAATAATGAAAATTTGGAAGGAACCTAAATATTCACTTCAGGGGAATTGCTAAACTGACATAAATCATGAAGGGCAGGTGCTGTATTAATGTTTTTCAGGAGCAATCACAGTATCTGGCAAGATCATAGGCAGTCAGTAACATTTGTTAAAATGAAACACTACTATATGGGTATTAAAATTATTGGGATAATTTTTCTTTACTTGGAGAAACCTTCATGTTTGAAAAAAGTTGAGTGAAAAATGAAGAATATGATCCCTATGACATAAAAATACATTTTTATGCTCATAAGCAATAGGAGGGTGAAAAGTCATATTTGAACAGCCATTTATTTCTAGATTGTGAGATTACAGGAAATTAATGTTTTCCTCTTTACACTTTTCTAAATTTTCTATTTTCTACAATAAACATAATTTCAAATTCAAGCAGTCTTACACAATTCTTAATAACATGAGAAAAATGCTATTAATAAATTGTTAAGTGAACAATGTAGGATATAGAACTAAAATGTTATCACAAAGCAGACACATATCAAATAAACAAATAGACAAAAAGACTGAATGAAATGTGCCATAGAAGTAGTTATTTCTGGCTAGTGGCCCCAAGCAAGCAATAATTTTCTCCCTTCACGTTATATCTTTATATAGGATCTTCTAAATATTCCATATTAAATATGTGTTACTTCCACTGACAGAAAAAAGTTTTTTCTTTAAGGAAGAAGAATACTGTATTATTTTCAAGTGAAAAGATGATGGAGGTGGTAGACTAGGTGGTGGCAATGGGAGGAGGTGGTGGACTAGGTGGTGGACTAGGAGATGGCAATGGGAGGAGGAATGTACAGGTGAGAGGGGATATTAGAGAAACAAAGTCTTTAGGACCAGCTGATCAATTGCTCAGAGGCCTGAGACAGATTCTGAGGAAGCCAGTGAGTGTCTAAGAGAGGTGGTTCGTTAACAGAACCCAGGAAGTTAGGAGAACAGGAAAGATTTTGTGGTATTAGTTTTAGGTATAGGTTCTAACTCTTTTGATGAAAAAATGAACTCTTTTGTCTTATTGTGAAAATCCCAACTTGTGTCACCTATTAGACACTCTTTTAAGATTTATTATTTATTTGAGAGAGAGTGTGTGTGTGTATACATAAGCAAGCAGCAGGAAGGGCAGAGGGCAAAGGAGAGGGAGGGAGGGAATTTCAAGCAGACTCCCCACCCAGTGCAGAGCCTGACTCGGGGCTTGAGCCTATGACCCTGAAATCATGACCTGAGCTGAAAGCAAGAATCAGATACTTAACTGACTGAGCCACCCAGGTACCCCTTACCTATTAGATACTCTTAAATTAAGAGCAACATCAGATCGGAGAGTAAGTACCAAGGTATTTCTAGACTACCTTTCTTTCCCCAAGAATTCAGAAAAAGGAAATGCTATAATTAAGTACTAATTTTCTTGTGTAAGCTGACAGTGGTGAGCTTCTGGATGTGCTGTGTCAGGTCCCAGACTATCAGCCTCCAACGTCTGCCTGGTGGCCTCAGTGGCCACACACCAAACCTCCAAACCTCATTCCCTCAGTAGTGTGCCTGTGCACACTCAGTGTGGCACTCAGTAGATATAAATGAAACGATTACTATATTAAATATTTTGAAAAAAAATAAATATTTTGCTGCATAAATCATCTATATCTGGGTGGTGCTCTTCTGTTACCTAATTTGCTGCTGTTTATTATTTTCAAAGGAAAAAATGGAAAATATTCTGAAGCCTGGGTGTCTACGAGATACGAAAAGTAAGAATGAGTTCAAAGAATCCTCAAAACATGTCACCATCTCAAATGTAACACTGACTTTCCAAGGTGAACAATGTTTTCGTACTACCTTGACAGAAGAAGAAAGTGAGACAAGTGCATCCAAAGGGTTGAGTGCTAGAACCTCTGAAATAAAGATAACTGATTTTAAAAACACAGCTCTCAAGGTTGAAGAATCCAGGTATGTGAGGCAGGGAAAAGCCGGGGATGCTAAGACATGAAGTAATGTAAAATAAGTATAGGCGTTAAAGTCCCTGCAGCTCTAGCATTTGTTACTAAAGATTCTCAGTTATAGAAACAATGTAATTGAATGATGCCATAGTCAACTCCTGATTATAGGCATTTGGTTTAACTTTGTCTAATTTTTATTTTCCTGTCAATTTCTCATCCCTTTCAGTTCACATTCTAGGCTATCTGGTGTCAATTGTGTGTGCTGAGGAATAGAGATAGGATAGAATCAGAGTATCTACGTTTTGGAGTTAAGGCACTGATCTCTCAGAGTGACTATGGCCACTCTTGCTTTTATCTTTATACTTCTCTCCACTTTCTTCTCTACATATTTCATATGATTTTCTACATTTCCGACTAATAACTTAATCTGAAAAAAATATTTTCATAATTCTGTTTGAATTAAACAATATTAAACAATTAAAACAATATACTTGTTTATTATTTTAAAGAGAGATAATCCTGGAGCAATAAACAATATACTTGTTTATTATTTTAAAGAGAGATAATCCTGGAAAAAAATATTTTCATAATTCTGTTTGAATTAAACAATATTAAACAATTAAAACAATATACTTGTTTATTATTTTAAAGAGAGATAATCCTGGAGCAGGCTCCCTGCTGAGTGCACAGCCTGACTCAGGGCACAATCTCACCACCCTGAGATCATGACTTGAACCAAAATCAAGAGTCAGTCACCCAACTGACTGAGCCACCAGGTGCCTCTATTTTCATAATTTTAATAGTCAAGTGCAAGCTGAATATGAGAGAGCACTGTTGGTACTACAAAGATAAAAATTAATCCAATCATTTCAAAATAACACCTAAAAAAGAAACCAGAGAAACATATAGAAGTTTAAATGCTTACATGAGAAGTTAAATGCTTACATGAAATAGAGAATGTAATGAATTATGTCTAAATTCTTTTTAAATATAAAAAAGGAACAAGGGAAAACAAAAACAAACCAAAAAAAAGAAATAAATGAGAATGATTATAAGTAACTTGAAGTGCTACAGAGTTTGGTTGATTATTCAAAAAGAATGACAAAACAGGCAAACTACTGGACAACTTCTCTTTTTTTTGGTAATTTATTCATGAGAAACACACAGAGAGAGGCAGAGACATAGGCAGAGGAAGAAACAGGCTGCCTGTGGGGAGACCTTGATGTGGGACTCGATCCCAGGACCTGGGAATCACGACCTGAGCCAAAGGCAGACACTCAACCACTGAGCCACCCAGGTGGCCCAACAAGTTATTTTTTTAAATGATAAAATTAGAAATTTAAAAGGTCATCATCAACTAATAAAAACAAAAGTAGGGCAGCCCTGGTGGCACAGCGGTTTAGCGCCACCTTCAGCCCAGGATGTGATCCTGGAGACGTAGGATCGAGTCCCCCGTCGGGCTCCCTGCATGGAGCCTGCTTCTCCCTCTGCCTGTGTTTTTGCCTCTACTCTCTGTGTGTCTCTCGTGAATAAATAAATAAAATCTTTAAAAAAATAAAAAATAAAAACAAAAGTAATATGTTATTGAGAAAGATTGTATACATCTTTTCTTTAATAAACTTTGTAATCCTAAGTTAAATAAATGACTTTAACAAAAATACAAAGAGGCAAAACTGGCACTTGAGAACATAGAAAAAACCTACCCAATAGTTCCCATAAGAGAAAAAACATAGCTGTAACTTTTACTGGACAGTGTGGTTTAGTACTCCAAGAATTATCTCTATTTAATGTAAAGTTTTCTTTTAAATATAGAAAAATTATGTTATGTTCTCCTAATTTTTTGAAGCAAATAATTTGTCTGAAATATAAAACCTGAAAGATAACACAAGAGAGGAAATTCTAGATTAATCCCACTTAAGACAATAAATGTTAAATTCATAGAATCTTGGCAGGCAAAATGTAGCAAGTTTAATATAAAATTAAGGAAACTTTCAATAGAAGTCATATTTAAAAGAGCAGAAAAATCATAGATACCTTAAATACATTTGAGAGACTGATATTCTTGATAAAGATCCACAAAATGTAGAAGAGTTTTCCTTTAGCACAGTAAAAAATATTTACTCCAAACCAAAGCCAACATTATTTTTAATGAAGAAATTATAGAGGTGTGCTACTTAAAACTTAGAACAAATTAAGGATATTCCTATTAACATTCCTACATGATATAATTTAAGGGAGTCTAGTAATTATAACAAAGAAATACAATGGATAAATATGGGATTTTTAAAAATCACTTTGCAAATTGAAATTAATATTTAGAAAATTTGAGAATCAAAAAAAAGAATTTGAGAATCATCAAGCATATTAGTTTGTAAACAATTTTCGGAAGTCACAGGTTATAAAATAAACTCACAAAATATCATTTGTTTCATGATTTTTATTAACAAACCAAAATGCTCTGAAAAAAGAATGTATTCAAAAGCAGCAATAAAAATCAAATATTTAATGAGTGTGATAAGAGATCTGTATATATGGAATTACAAAACCCTAATGACAGAAAAATAAGACAATCTGATTAAGGAAAGCTAAGCTCTCTATCTGGACAGGTATATTTAAGACAACAGAAATGACAAGGCCTAAATTAACTTATAAATTTAATATAGTACCAATTATCTCAACGGTATATCTCATAGAAATTAAACAATTATAGAAAGTATGTGGAAAAAAATAGGGATAAGAATCTCAAGGAAATCATTGTGACTGGAAAATATCTAGAGGGACTCACTTGTATAAAATCTCAAGTCATATTATAATTAAATAACCATCAGAAACACCAATGAAAAATTTAGGATATAGAAATTAAGATAGTGGGGATCCCTGGGTGGTTTAGCGGTTTAGCCCCTGCCTTCGGGCCAGGGCGTGATCCTGGAGCCTGTGTCTCCCTCTGTCTGTGTCTCTGCCTCTCCCTCTCCCTCTCCCATGTCTCTCATGAATAAATAAATAAAATCTTAAAAAAAAAAAAGAAATTAAGATAGTAAAACAGATTCAAACTGAGAGGTTCAAAAGAAACATGAAGAAATGCAAAATTCTAGAATATGTTGATCATATATGCTGTACTATAAAAAAAAATTTCAGATGGGAAAAGTCAAAAACAAATAAACTGGAATAAAATGGAATAGTTGAATTGCCTCAGTTGCATAAGAAAGATCATTTCTCCTTTGAAGCAACAGAAGAAATTTTCAATGGCAAAGTTGATTCATTCATTCAATAATATTTACTGAGCACTAACTATGTGCTAGGCACCAGAGATAACAGCTGTTTCCCTGTATGTTATAGGGTGTTTCATTCAAGTGGAGGACATAGATAATACACAAATAAAATACATTATGCCAGCTGGAATGTAAGAAGATAAAAGCAAAAATAGAGTAAAAGAATAGACAGTGATTTGCGGAGGAGGAAGGATATCTTACGATGGTCAGGGATTGATTCTCTGGGGAAGGGCAGACATCTAAAGGAAGGGTGGAGCTCTTGGGAAACAGTTCCAGGCCCACTGATTGCATAACAATTATAAATATCTGTCCCCCAAATCATTTTAAGTAAATAAATACGTAACAGCACAATGGGAAAAGAGTAATAACTAGATAATCTATAGTGGTTTTACCTGCCATATATTTAGATAGCTGATGGGAATTTGTAAAGGATCCAATTAGCAAATGGTTTAAAGTTATGAATAGAAAATTTACTCCAGAAGACAAACACTTAACGAGGAATCACTCTCACTAATAATTAAAGAAATACAGGTTAAGCAATTACCAGTTGGCTTTCAATTAGATGTTAACTGTAACACTGATGAGCTCACTATAAATGGTGGGAACTTTCTACAGAGTGATTTGGCAATCCACACCACAAATGATTATACCACTTAATTTACAGAAACATGTGTCAAAGAAGTAATTCAAAAGGGGAAATAACTTAAAACACATGTTTTGTAGTTAAAACCTGAAAGCAATCCAAACGACCACTAGTAGAATAGCTAACCAGGAAATAGTATGTTTAGTGCAACAGCAGATCCCCATTAGAAAAAGAATAGAGAATTTCAATAAAAAGACCCATAAGACTAATAAGGAACTGCAAGCTAGAAAAGTAAAATTCTGAAAAATGTATATACAGTGGTATTTTATTTCTACAAAAAGATGATAAGAAACCAGTGTTTGGGCATATCTGGTGATTAAAGGAAATAATATTTGTTGTAGCTATTGATAGATGTTTCCATTAAACTTTTATTGTTCATAATCATTATGATTACATGCATAATTTAAAATCAAAACTGATGCTAGAAGGCATCAGTTGCATGCATTAATTGGAAGATATAGCAGCTAGAGAATGAGCTTTGCAGTCTGACAACCTGGGTTCAAATCCTGCTTCCTCCATTCTTGGGCAAGTTAAATTAATTTTTCAGGCCTCGGTTTCCCCATTTGTAAAATGGAAATAACACTGATCATGTAGAGTTGTTGGAGGGATTAAATAAGCTGATATTGGAAAGCTCACAATGTCAGGCACTTGGTATTACTAAAAAAAAAAAAAAAAAGGATTAAAGTAGAGAAGGAGGAGGGAAGAAAGAAAAGGAGAGATTGAGGGGGGTTTAGTTTCTCAATTAGATTGAACACAAACCTAACATAGTTTTGACTTACATTGAATATTGTAGAAAGGGCAGCCCAGGTGGCTCAGTGGTTTAGCGCTGCCTTCAGCCCAGGGCCTGATCCTGGAGACCTGGGATTGAGTCCCACATCAGGCTCCCTGCATGGAGCCTGCTTCTCACTCTGCCTGTGTCTCTGCCCCTCTCTCTCTCTCTCTGTCTCTCATGAATAAATAAATAAAATATTTTTTTAAAAATGAATACTATAGAAAAATGATTCTATACCTCTGAAGTAATCTTTCTACTGTAGTACCCAAAAACTGAACCCAAAGAACTCGGAAATATATTTAATGCAGTAAAGAAATTGAAGTCATTCCAACTGAAGAGGAAAACTATAATAGGTAACAATTACCATCTTCAGTGTACAAGGAAGTACAGATCTAAGGGCTAAATTTAAAAAGTGAATTTAAAGTGAAAAGTATTGTAACTAAATACAAAGAAAATTTTATTATATAGTAAAACAAGATAGCAATCAACCAATCAATAAAAAAATTAAGAAATATCATTGATTAGATATTAATAAACAATAGAACTAATTTCTGGAGGTTGTAGAATCTTTCTTCCTGGAAACTTCTCAAAAACATTGCAGCAGGCCATTTGTCCTGGATAGACTTCAAACATTTTCCTGCTGGGGGTCAAGGCCCATCTATGTTTCGTATGTAATTTTAATCTACTGCTAAAATAAATGACGGAATGCTTGATAAAGTCAAATAATAACTATGTTCTGGGGATCCCTTAAAGGAGTAGAATGAAATGGAAACAGTAAACAAACTGAGTATGTTGTAGGGTTCTGAGAAATAGACATATTAGATGCCCAGAAAATTATTATTATTGTCACTAGTCATTCAATACCAATTGTGTAGATAAAGGAAAGTTGGCTATTCTATCTCATAGAACCCCTCCCTCAAACCCTTACTCAAAAATATCTTAAGCAGTTGAGAAATAATTGCCCAAAGCTGGCTTTCTTTTTAACTTTTTTTCCTGGCTAAGGGGAGGATCAAAGAAAGCAAAGGAATATGGGTGATCGTTAGGAGAACTAGACCTTGAAATCAGAGCAATGTTTGCCTTAGCTTTAGCTTCTGGACTGCCACATTTCTGGAAATTCTAGAGCCTCTAGATCCAAGTACCAACACGCTCCAGGTGTTGGTAGATCTGGATAATGATTTAAATACTTTTGGTTGTCTGCCCAAAGCATTGTTTAATATGTAGGGTTTCTATGCCAGTGATTTTGTCAGTGTGTGGTTGGTTAGCAGCATCACCTGGGAACTTGTTAGAAATGTAAATTCTTGGGCCCCATCCCATCCTACTGAATCCTGAACTCCAGCATTCTGCTTATAACAGACCTCCAAGTGGTTTTTTTTTAAGATTTTATTTATTCATGAGACACACACACACACACACACACACACACACACACACAGAGGCAGAGGGAGAAGCAGGTTCCATGCAGGGAGCCCGACGCAGGACTATACCCCAGTCTCCAGGATCACACCTCTGGCTGAAGGCGGCACTAAACCGCCGGGCCACGCAGGCTGCCCCCCTCCAAGTGGTTCTAATGTATATTCAAGTCTGAGAACCATTGCCTTTTGATAAGTCAGTCCTAGACACAAAGGAGAGTTTATTAAGCATTGCTCTCTCATGAAGGCTTCTCCTGAGGTCCCAGAGCCAAAATAAGTATTCCTCTTTATAGGCGGCTCAAACTCAAGGGAGCCTCCTTCAGGAATTTTTCCTATATGACCAGGAACCCGGAAATTTGGATTCAGAAAAGAAAAAAATATTAAAAAATTGGTTCAGTGTTCAAGAAATTTTCCTGCTTCTGATAGACAGTGGAGAAGTAGCTGAAATAATTTCCCCCAGAACACTGATCTATTATTTCTTGATGGTGACAACCATTGAATTCTTTTGTGGAACTAAACAATGACCCAGAGGGTTATTAGTACGTCTGATGTGTTAGAGGAGAAAGAAGTACAAAGAAAAAAAAACAGGTGACAGAGTAAGGAAGGGAGATAGAACTATCAACCATCAGTCCAAGTAATGAGAGACCAGAGAAAGGAATATAAGGAGAGGGATAGAAACAGGTGCCACACAGTAGGAAATAAATGTATTTCACTACTGCGCATGAGTTGGCTTTCACAAAAAAGCCTAAGGTTTCCTAAAAAAACAAGATAAAAAAATGAATCCATTCAATTGAGCAATTTATTCTAAATAACTAATTAGATCTGATCACTCTGATGTCTTCCTTCTGTTTTGTTTCATTCATGTTTCCAATCTTATGACCTGCCCTTATCTAAGGCTTCAGAAATACCACAATTAAAAATCTCATGAAGTGAACTGTTAATGTCATTTCACCTTCTTCTTTCCTTGTCCTTTTGTATATAATAGATGTTTTGAAGCATGAGATTAGCCTTTACAGCTTTTATTTATTTTTAAGATTTCATCCATCTATTTGAGATAGAATGAGCAAGAAAGAGAGAACATGAGCAGGGAGGAGCAGCAGAGGGAGAGGGAGAAGCAGACTCTCCACTGAGCAGGGAGCCCAATGTGGGGCTTGATCCCAGGACCCTGAGCCAAAGGCAGACACTTAACCGACTGAGCCACCCAGGTGCCCTCTTTTAGAAGTGCCTTAAAAAAAATAAATATAAATGAAGTAATAGACTTTACTTTTTTAAAAAGTACAGTTTTAGATTTGCAGAAAATTGAGTAGATAATACATAGAGCTCTATATAGCCACCCCTCTGCCACCTCCTCACTCTCTCCCCACCTCCAGTTTTCCCTATTATTAACACCTTGCATTATTAGTGTGGTACATTTGTTGTGATTAATAAACAAAATTGATACATTATCATTAACTATAGTTGCTAGTTTAAGGTTCACTATGTTGCACAGTTCTTTGGGTTTTGACTTATGCATAGTAATGTGCACCCACCATTTCAGTACCCTAAATATCCTCTGAGTATTAGATTAGCTTGTAATAGCTTTTCAAATATTAAAAATTGTAAGGCTAACTTATTTTTTTGGGATGTAAATTGCTCTATAGGTACAAAGTTTTGTTAAGTCTAACTATTATGAAAAAAAAAGTCTAACTATTATGATCATTATTAGAAACAATGAGAAAATCAATACCTATAGATGGGATATGGTAAATATCACAGAATTTTAAAGATAAAAAGGATCTTGAAGGTTAGCAAATCCCAAAACCTTCAAGGCCCTACCCTTCTGTCTGTCAGTGTCCTGTATCATTCATCCACTGGCTCTACTGGGGAGAAAGAAAAAGAAAAAGAAAAAAACAAATTTTGGCTCCAAGCAATCCTCGTAAGCCCACCTTAATCAAGGATGGATTCTTCTTTATTGCATATTTCCACTTGGAACATAATTACTAGCTAGAGCCTAATTTGAGAATGTTCATTATGAATGAAAGGTGTTAATATCTAAGAACAGAATGGAATTCAGTTTATTCCTGGGACGTTTGCTGGATTAAGTCAGTACCCTGTGAAAGTAATAAGTAAGTTCTAATTGTTTTTCTTGTCCAAGACCACGGATTTCAGTGGCATTTTATAACTGTGTACTTTGGGACAATGAAAAAAATTAAAGGATGACCTTGTTGAATATTTTGCCCTCAGATTTATTAATGTAAATCGAGCAATTTCAGTCTAGATGAGTGAAAGACTATGGAGACATCAATAATGTCACTTTAGGTCCTTTAAAAGTGAAGGATTTACTTTATGAAGCATTTATATTCCTTCTCATGCCCTAACAATAGTGCTACTCCGACTCTTCCCTTTGTTTTAAAGAGAATAACGTCAGGCTTCATTTTAATTTGCACCTATTTTTTTTAAAGTAGATTTACTTAATATTTCTCAGTCTTTCAAACCTTTTATCTTTAAGCTCAACTTTCATGTAAATCACCAGATCTATTTAGTGAGGGCTACATGAGCATTTATTTGCAAACGCCTTAGAAAATTGCTAATTTAAACCTCTTGCAGAAAGATCCTGAGGTAGACATCAACCAGGATTCCTTTTGCCAGACCCCTTAAAATGAATCATAATTATGTCTTTGTACATTTATCTGGGAATTTATTGTCTGAGGGTAATTATTCTTTCCAAGTGCTTTCTTTTTCAAACTGCAATGCTTACCCCAAAAATTATGAAAATGTAGCCAAGAAACCAAAATCTGATGAAAATTAAGTGACTGAAGTTTGTTTTAGCATGCTAATGAGGTTAATAAAATAGGTGTTTTAATTATTGTTATTAATTTTAAAAATCAGTAATGCAGGAAACTTCTTTATCCAAAGACATAAAAAAATTTCTTTATCCAAAGGCATTTCTAAAAGTGAAATGATCTAAAAAACTGACAGTTTGTCTCCAATTTTATCCAGTAAACTATAAGAAATGTACTTAATTGGGCAAATACTTGGGCATGTTGTATGCCTGCAAGATTCCCTAGCACTCTTGCCCCATCAGGGCCATAAAGAGTGTGATGCAGAAGCCAGCAGAGATGGGCACCTTCAAGCACCCAGAATTTCTCCCATGTCTCTATGAGAGCCTATATTTCCAACACAAGAGACTCTATTAACCCCTGAGCAACAGCAATTAGCTCAGTCTCAGCTCCAAATGAGTTTTCATACACTGGAGAGGCAGTAGGATAGCACTGCCCACAGCCTGAGTGACAGGTGATGGATAAAATAAAAAGAGACTACATGTTATGATTCACTTTTATGGCTCTTACAGGTTGGATAGCTTACATGCTGACAGAAATTTAGGTAATTTTGCTCTAATATGTGTTATTATATAATACCCTAGGCTTGCTAAATATGTTTCATTATTACCTACAAAGCATTTAGAGAATGGCCAGCTATCTCATACCTGGTCATTCTTTTCTAAATATTTGTGGTTACACTGGCAAAATTTTGAACTGTGTTGTTTGTTTTTCCAGGAGCATGAGAACTGATTCAGTCACTTCAGGTATGGAATGAATCCCACTACATTTCTTTGTGATCTCTGGTATCCAGTAGTCACGTCTGGGGCCTGGAACAGAGTAGTTAAGAGCAAAGGAATCCTTTGCTAGGTGTTTTGATGCATTCCCTTTGCTCCGTTCTGAGAGTCCCCACAGTGCAGGAACTCTTCTTCAAAGCCTATCCTCATATTATCTTTCAAGTAGTAGGCATCACTGCACTTTTCTCTGTGCTGGTAGAGTACTGAATCCAACTCTCTGGATTTGAACCACTCCAAGGCCAGCTCTGCAAGCAGAACCCAAACAATAGGACCTTTTCTCCTTGCTGATTTGGAAGGGGAGTGATCTACAACTAAATTTCCTGGCAACTCTAAAATCATGTAGCCCCTCCTTTCCTCTTATTTGCATCTTCAGCCTTTGCTTCTTTACATATTCCCATGACTCCGGATCTTATAACTTCTTTTTCTTTTTTAATATTTTATTTATTTACGAGAGAGATAGAGGGAGGTGGGGGAGGGGCAGAGGAAGAAGCAGGCTCCCCGCTCAGGACCCTGAGATCAAGACCTGAGCAGAAGACAGATGCTTAACCAACTGAGCCCCCCCGGGAAACCCCAGGATCTTTTAACTTTTTAAAAAGTTTTTGAGACAGAAGTTGTCATATAGACACCAGTGGACATGTATCGCCTTGCTTGCTAGTGAACCACCTCTAGCTACTGTCTAAGTTGGGGTGTGAATGGCTCTCAGCTCCAGTCATGCATATAAAAGAACATAATGGAAAGAACGGGGAAGTACATTGCAATTGACTTAAATGGAAAGAAAAAATAATACTTCTACTTTAAAACCCAAGACCAAGGCATTCTTAGTTACATTTGCAAGAGTCCTACCAAAAAAAGCAAACAATTAGAGGATAGCTGTATATAAATAGGGCTTTAGTCTGTAGGCCTTCCCACCAGGCTTTAGTGTCTAAAAGTACCAGATGCACTTCACTGAGAGGTGGTTTTACCTATATTCCAGTCTTCAGTACTAAACCAGAGAATGCTGAAGGGAAATGCCATTGTAGTTTACAAGAAAAATGCAAAATCTCCTTTGCAGTATATAGAATTTTCACCCATCAATTTCTACTCCAAATTCGATTTCAAAAAGAAATCACAGTAGATTGATAGAAATTCAGGAGATGTCCAACAGGCAAATATTTTCCTCTTACTTTCTAAAAGAAAGCATAAATCATGCAGCAGCCTTAACATTAATAGATAATTAGTACATCAACATATAAGTAGTACAATAGCATATAATATACATTCTGAAGCACTAGTTATTTAAGCCTTGGGAATTTAAAATTAATGTAGGACGTTGATATATTTCTTTTCATTCTATATGTGATTCTTTCACCCGCCTTCTGGCACAGACTCAGTTTTGTTCAAATGAACAAATATTTGATGCCTATCTATTCTATTTGAAGCACTGTAGAGAGATAAAAAATAGATAACAGGACACTGCCTGACCTCAAGACATGGGCACAAATAACATATATGGAATCTTATAGGTGCCTTAAGAGAAAAGTGGTGAACGTAGTTTTAGTTCAAGAGAGAAAAATCATAAAAGATTTATGAAGGAAGGAGGCAGTCTTTGAGTCAGGAAAGGGGAAATAAGAATATCATGGAGATAGGGTATAATGTGTGCAAAGTCAAAGAATGGGACAGTACTGGGCATATTCCACTTAGGAACAGTGAGAGATAGAGCTGGACAGCAAAGCAGGAGCCAGGTTATGGAAGTCTTGGACCATGCTAGGGAGTTTAGATAGTATGGTCTGGTAGGTAAGGAAAAGCCACCAAAAAATAGACCTAGTAAAATTAGTATTATGTTTTAGAATGATTACTCTGACCTCAATCTCTAAGAGAGCTGGAGGAGGCCAGAGGTAGGAAGTCATTAGAATAGTCCAGGGTGAAAGGTGCTAGCTAAAGTCTTGAACTGTGTAAAACAGATGGCAACAAGAATGTGAATATGTTGACTGACTACCTTGGGGACAAGAGATAAAATGCTCCGAAAAACAAAAAACGAAAACTGAGGATGACAAAGGAGACAACATAACCAGGAGGTAATGAGTCCATGAAAGAAGCTGGGAAAATGAATTCGAGGAAATCTGGAAGGAAACAATGATGAGACCAGCTATGGAATACTGCCTAGAATGAGAAGTCCTATGTTTGAGTTCTGAATGCACTTCCTCTGTTCCACGGGTGTGTCACTTAAAGTTTCTGGACTTCAAGCTTCTTCAACTATCAAGCATGCGCATATGGGTCAAGGATTGAAGCAGGCATGTTTAGCTGTCTCCTTCAGCTGCTACGATGTTATAAGCTCATACGTGTGTGGTCTTGGTGGTCTGTCTTTGTAAATTCAGCAGGCAGCATGAAATGGGGCTCTGGAAATCAGGAGCTAAGCAAAGATATAGCGAACATGCAGCAAAGTTCCACAGCTTGTTAAATCACAAGGGTGGTACAATATACACATCTGGCTTGCAGTTTTCACAAAGTATTAATTATTTTCCCCATTTGTTTTCTTTCACATACTTTCTCATTCTTCCCACTTCTCTATCTCCCATGTTTCCTGATTTAGGCTTACATCCTTTTTTCATTTTCCCTCTGATTAGCATTTCCTTCCCCCTTACCACATTCCTATGAATCACTTTCTTTTCCCCTTCATACTTTCTAATTCACACTTCACACTTCTTACCCCAAGAAGAGCAACGGTTACTTGCTCTTCTTACTCCTTTGTCCCAGTAAATTTAGACTGAATATAGACGAAAAAATGAGTCTGTGAATCTGATTTCTATTCTAGGCAGCAACCAGAATAGTAACCGTTCCCCACTGCAATTAAATGAAATTCTGGTACTATTATCCCGGTCAGGTTCATGTTCACCCAGCTGCGGGGCAATGTTGGCTGGGGACCATGGTCTCTTATTTATGTCTCAAACATCTCAGCAGTTTGGCAGAAGGACACTCTTCTCCTTTCTGAATAAGGTTGTGGGTAAAGTGGCACTTCACATGTACTGTTTTTATGACAAGGCTAAAAGGCAGAGCCCAGGCTGACACTGTCTCTCTCGATCTGGGTCCATCTCTCCCTTTTCTTAACTTGTAATTTCTTACCTATTTAGGTTTTACTCTCCTTAGCTTTGCTGATCTCTTTACAGTGAGCCCAAACTTAGGCTTACCTAATGGTTCTATGGTATTTTCCCAAGATGGTAGACAATTAGACAAAGGATAGAGAACCAAGAAAGAAGAGAGGGAAAATTGCTTATGAAATGCTGGGAGTGTCCTCTCCATCTAAACCCATCTTTCCTTTCCTCTTTCCTCTTAACTATTGCAAATTAAATTCCTTGCAATCCTAAGCAGCCAGGTTCAGTCTCTGTTTATGGAACCCAGACTAAAAAGAGAAAGGGTGGGGGGACCCCAAAAGGGAACCTGTTCGTGAAATTTAACAATGGGCTCCATTGGAAAGAATAAAGACATTTTAAAAAACTTTAGACCAAATTAAGTTCTCTCTCCTTCTGTGCCTTTTTTCTCTCCTGCTTCTGGCTTTTTTCTTTCTTCCTCACCTCTCCCCTGCCCATGATCTCTTCCACTTTCCCCACTATTTTTCTTTTGCCCTCTGGCTCCCTCCCCTCTTGTCAAATCTACTTCCCTCAATCTCCTGCTTCATCTGTTCTCCCCTTTTCTCAGGGGAATGGTTGTGAGGAAAGCAAAGTAAACAGAAAAAGAAGAGGACAATGGAAAAAACATATAAGACAACCTAAAGGTAATTTTTTTATGATTATAAGTAGCTATAAAGGACAGATGTGACACTTTCACAAAAAGTTGTCAATAAATTGAATCTTTTGACATTGAATCTTATTACTTCTATTGTAGTAACAATAAAGGTGGAATGGGATATTGAGGGTTTGTTGTGGTTTTTGCCCTAGAATCCTTCAAGGGTCAAAATATAATGTTAGCACAGGGATTAGAGGGAGCCTCAGGTGAAGCACTGGAAGTGAATTACTTGCTGCTGCTTTTACAAATGATTCCATCATTCTCATTCCTACTCTCCCTCTTTGCTCCCTCCTCATACTCTTTTCCAACCTTGGCAGGAACCACATAGCCATATCTCATCAGGGCTCTCCTTGTTGGAATTGAGGTGCCAACCCTTCTGTGCTACTCTGCCACCAAAGTCAGCTTAGCACTTGGGCACTAATTTTATTAACAGAACTCACCCAGATGCACAACATGGGCCAGACATAATGCACTAGAGGAAAACAGTGAGGCCAAAAGATAACAAAAGTCCATGCACAATAATCCCCTGGTCTCTCCACACACTCCTTAGTCTGTGCCTGCCCTTTTGTCACTTCTTTTCCCCCCATAAGTATGTTCTTAATATTGTCCTATGGTGGCGATAGACTGTAAAGGTGTTGCACTCAGAGTAATGCGTGCTGGCACCTCCATCCACTTAGGGAGAGTCCCAAGCCCTGTCATTTCTCTCCAGAATTTAGAAAGAGAAATTCATTGAAAGTTGACTCAGAATTCTACAATGATTTCATCCTTTGATGGATATATCCTATAACAATGAAATTTCAAATATCAGGGTCTTATTAAGAGAGATCTGCAAATGCAAAGAAGAGTAGAAATAACAATATACACACCATATTTAAACCTTGGCTTCTAAAGTTTAAAAAGTGGCTCCTAGGGCTGCCCTGGTGGCTCAGTGCCTTGGCCCCACCTTCAGCCCAGGCTACAATCCTGGAGACCCAGGATCAAGTCCCACATCAGGCTCCCTGCATGGAGCCTGCTTCTCCCTCTGTCTATGTCTCTGCTTCTCTCTCTGTGTGTGTCTCTCATGAATAAATAAGTAAAATCTTTAAATATTTAGGAGCCACTTTTTAATTTTTTATTTTTAAACTGTGAATTGCCAATATATAAGAAAAAGTAGGTGATTTTTTTTTAATGGTGAAAAAGTTGTGTTACTAATAAAGACTTCATATTATCAGGACTGAAATGT